AAAAAAAAAAAAACCTAAATTGTTGGGGTAGAATTTCATCTTGGTGCAAGCTGAACTTGTCAGCGTATAAAAAAGTCTGAGTTGGCATGAACACATCAATAGATAATGGAAATTAACGATGGAGGTGCCGCACGTGACTTTTCTGTCATTAAATTTTGCCTTATTTCCCTAAATTTGAAAACATGAAAAATAAAAAATCATATATTTGGAAACATGAAAGGTAAAAAATCATATATTGTAATATAAGGGGTAAAATGCCTCAAATTCAAAAAGTTAAAGGGCAAACGGGTACCTTTTGCCTAAAAAAATATATAACAAAGTTAGAGGACGAAAAATTATGTAAAACATTAAAATTGAGGACCAAAATAAAATTCACTCTTTTAAAATTTGAACTGAATTGTACGACAACACTGTGTAATCTGAAATTGCAATTGCAATTGCAATTGCAGGGTAATTAAGATTAAGAAGCCCCTAGCCCAAAACAACGTCGTTTTGAGCTAGGGAATCCTTTTGTTTTTTTTAATTTGCCACAGTGTGTACCGGTCGAAATTTCGGCTTATACATTGGATTTTGATTGAATTAACCAAATTTTAACCAAAATGAATTTTCATATTATACTATTTTGGTTAATATAAAAAATCGGTACGTACCGACCATATTGACCGATACAATACGAAATTGACTACCATGATTTCAAGGTTGCAATGAGTTTAATTGTTGGTAACAACAATAAAATTTTCTATATTATATTTTTCTAAATAGAATCTCTTACAAACGCCATGTAAAAATAAATAAATATATTATGGATTTTTTAAGCTGTGTCCTTGGGGCACATAATAAGAGCGCCTTTTCAGTATTAATTATCATTAAAAAATAAAATTTAACATTATTTAATTAATTATCTAATTAAAAAATACATGTAACATTAATAATAAAATTAATGTCAGATTTTTTTTTATATTAATTAATATCAAAAAGTTATCAACGATTTAAATAGTTTAGTTGTAATCTCATTCTACTAGAAGTTAGAGGTCTTCAGTTTAAATCGTATGACATGCAGATAGAGTGGGATAAGTGATGGGAGAGGATCACCTCCACTGTGTAACCAATATCAAATATCAAAAAGGTGTATTAATTACACCCTTAACTTATACCTTGAAAACATAAATTAGATAAATCTATATAGCGTTTTTCTATCTTATACCTTTATAGTACATGATAAGAGTGTATTTATTGTATCTTTTTATTATAAATATATAAAAAAATATAAAAAAATAATATTAATTTAGTATTAGGTGAATTTAATTAGATAGTTAATGAATTAAAAGTTAATTTTTATTTTTTAACATAAATTTATAATAAAAATATATATTTAATATATTTTTAATTTATATTCTAAAAGATAAGTTAAACAAATTTATCTATATATTATATAAATATATAAATATATTTAGCAATTTTACTCAGTTGGTAATTAATGTGAAAGATTTCCCAAAAATTCATGACTTCCCGCTTAATTATATTTCTTGGAATTACACGTCGAAAATTTACCGACATGGGACTGGCCAGAAATCGACTTTTCAATCCAGTTGTACTTTTCCAGTGAGTTAAGGTTCAGACGTGGTATACGTAGGTAATGATGGTTTAAGTCGCCGACGTGAGACCAGCTGGAAAGCAACTTTTCGGATCCAGTTGTACTTTTCTGGTCAATGTTTTGAAAACCGACCCGGAGTCCAAACCGTTTTGATCTCCGGTTTTTGATTTGACCGATTTAATCGTTGAAACCGCCGGTTTAACTTCTCATGAATAAATATAACATGATGTAATAATTTAACAAACCAAGTGTGGTGGCTTGACTGGTTTGTCACTTCGTCCATCACAATGGGAACGAGTGTTCGAGCATGGTGGAGGTCAAAATGTTATTATCACATTTTTAAACCTTTCAAGTAACATAATTTTTAAATTAATTTATATAAAAAATTGGTTAAATGCTTAATTTGGTCCCTTAACTTTAAGAAATGAACATTTTTGGTCCCTCAACAATTTTTTGCACTTTTTGATCCCTCAACTATACGAAATGCACTCCGTTAGTCCTTCTGTTAATTTTGATCGTTAACTCGCTTATGTGGCATTTTTTATAATTTTTTTGATGACGTGGCAAAAACAAATTGAAAACGTGCTTACGTGGATTTTTTTTTCATGCCACCTCACATTTATTACTATTTATATTTTTAAAAAATAAAATAAAATAAGTCACGTTCATTTTCTTCCTTTCTCTTTTTCTTTTTTTTCCTTCCTCTTTTTTCTTCCTCTTTTTTCTTCCTCTTCTTTCTTCCTCGGGTCATTGAACCCAGCAGATCTGGGTTCGGTGGAACCCAGCACTGGGTTCCATCGAACCCAGTGGCTGGGTTCCGTCGAACCCAGTGGCTG